AGGGGACATCCAGATCCAAAAGGTAGCATCAGTGGAGAATGTGGCAGACCCATTGACTAAGTCGTTGACAAAGAAAGTGTTTGAGAAACACATGGAAAGTATGAGACTCCAACTTGAACCCGAGTGAACCTATGTGCAAGTGGGAGTTGTTAGATAGTGTATGCCCTTAGCTCCAATCAGATTGATGTACATTATTGACATTTACTGTAAATGAATAAAGTAGATAGCTGATTCATGTTATTATGGTGTGTTTATATATAATACCCTTAAACTAGACACTTAAGAGACTCGTGTTAGTTTAGAATCTTCACAACTATTGGATAGACCTRGGGAGGTTTATCCTACCAAGGATGACACTAATTTCTTGCCAAGTCGGTTGGGATGGCTTGTCTCAGCTGCTAGGGTGAGACTTGTAGCACATGTAGTGTGRGTTTGTTTGAATCTCTGAACTAGACTATTTTCCAGTTGTGCCCTAGACCTTGGAGATTGATGAGAAAAACAGGAATGTTACACCTGACCCATAGACTTAATTATGGTACTACATAGGTGTTGGATTGGACTGTCTTTGATATGCCAATCAGTGAGATCCCTAGCGGGGGTCAAAACCTGGGTATGTTGGGACAGTCTGAGAATTCACCTGAGTGGGTGATCATAGTGGCAAGATCAGCCCCTATGTCGGACAAAGTGAATGATCGGTGAATGCACTCTTTCTTATGGAAACCTAAACTACCAGCAAATGATTTCAAACTTGTTGAGATTTGTTTTTGCAAAATATATTTATATAGATATATACATATATATTATGGTTTCACAAAATGTTTGCAAAAGGTTTAATTCCCGGGATCCATGTGAGTAGAGAGTGCAACACTGTACCTTGCAGCCGAGGGAGAGGTCCTCTCTTGTCGGCAATGTTTGATCATTATGGGCTGAGAGGTTAAGTGTAAGACCATTTAGAGATAATAAACCTGATGGGCTAATCTCACATTTGCCCATAGTCCTTGGGCCTTCATAAGATGGCTGGATCCAAGGACCATTTAGTGTAAATGTTGGGCCCATTAAGAGCCCATACTGATGGACTCAGGGGGTTCACTGTATTCAGCAGTGAATTTAGCCAGGCCTTGTAATAGAGGCTGGGCCGAACCCATGTGGCTGATGTGGAGATCAATGATGGGGTCCTATGCTATACAAAAAGTACCAAATTTGCTAGCACTTGAAGGGAAATTAGCCTGAATGCTTAATGGGCCTAAAGTCCAATTCGAACTAGGCTTAATATGATTAATTAAATAGGGGGCGAATCTAGGTTTGCATCAACAGAAAAGGATAGGAGGATAACTCTTAGCCACTTAAATAGTCCAGATTCAATTAGAGATTTGATTATGAAACTTCTAATTTGATTAGGAGAAGCTGATCCTGATCTGCAGATAAGGTAAGGGATAAGCCTTATCACTTAAAGCATTCGGATCCAAATAATGATTTGGATCAAGAAACTCTTAATCAGATTAGGAGGTCAATTCTTTAAGCGTTATATAATAGGAGGAGGGTGAACTGGAAAAAAGGTTACATAGTTTTACTACTTTCTGCATTCAGTTCTCTCTCCCTCTGCTCTAGCCACCCTACCCTGTTCAATCTCCACCTCTTGGAGTGATCAAGATTGGATCTTAATATCATTTCTTGGTGGAAGAAACAATCTTGAAGCTGTGCTCACAACCTAGTTCGATTCTTGCTGAAGACGYAGAGGTTCTTGCTGAAGAACTACTTGCTGATTTTTCCTCACCCTAAGCTATGTCATCTTCAATGGACGAAGGATTTGGTAACCTCTTTGGGCATGAACACCTACATTGGAAGGAGCTTTTGTATGGATTTCGCATCAGGTATACCTCTCCCTAATCTTGGTTTCGGATTTGGTCCGGTTTGTTTCAAGAACGAACCTTGAAAAAAGTAGTTTTTCTAAATTAGGGAATGGGATTCGTAGAAGGGAGAAAGAAATTTTTGAATTTTCGCCCAACCACCTTGCATGGTTCAGTCGTCCATATGATGGATCTCCCTTCCCTTCATGGAGTACTATACCATAGAAAGTTAGCTGGTGGGGATATCGTAAGCACCTTACATAGTAAATTAGAAAGACTAGGATACTACTAGCCTATGTTGAAGTCAGACTCTACCAGGGTACAACACAAATGCGATAAGTGTATCCCATAGGTGGATGGGAGGGACTGCCTCATGGTTTGTGAGTAAGATTGGAGGAGCATTACATAAGCCACCTAGAAGACAACATGCTAACCATAGACCCAACATTGAGAAGAAAGCTCCTATCTAAAGCTAGGCGGTTCTACCTCTAAGAGGGAATCCTATACAAAAAGTTACACATGGGGAAACCCTTGCGATGCCTAGCTAGTGATGAGAACGAAGAAATACTAGAGGTAGCCCATAGCTCTGAACCCGCTACACACCAGGGACGGTTAGCATTGTATAATCACATCTTGCACATAGGCTTCTATTGGCCCACCGTGATGGAAGAAACTCAGAAACATGTGCACAAATGTTATAAATGCTAGATCCACACTGAAAGGATACACAAACTCGCCAACAGCTTTCATCCAATCATTACACCCTAGCGCTTCCACACTTGGGGGATAGACCTCATAGRTAAAATCCACCCCCCTTTTAGAGGATATTGTTTTATCATAGTGGCCACAAATTACTTCATTAAATGGGCAGAGGCTATACCCTTGCGAAGGATTTGCACAGAGAACATAGCCGACTTCCTTAGGCAGCACATAGTTCACTAGTTTGGGGTCCCAATGAGGATTTTGGAAAACAATAGCCTATCCATCAAACGTTAGGAAGTCTGCAACCTTCTAGCGCAACATGGCACAAGACTAGGGACATCGACAATATACTACCCACAAGGAAATGGGCAAGCTGAAGCCACCAATAAGACCCTACTGAGAATGTTGAGTAAAACGGTGGCCGATAACCAAAAGGATTGGTCAGAAAAGTTGTCAGAAACCCTTTGGGCTTATCGCACCACTATTAGGAAAAGCACACATGTGACACGTTACTCATTAGTATATGACCAAGAAGCAGTGTTGCCGGTAGAAATACGAGTAGTGGCCGCTTGTGTAGCTTTCACAATGGGAAAAAGGATCAGACCTGAGGACATGGATCATTTACTAGCAGATAAACTGGAAGCCAAAGATGAGGATAGGGATAGGGCCTTACAGAGACAAATCAAATACAAACAAGCACTAGCTACATATTTCAATAGATTGTTAAGACCCAGGAGCTTCAAAGAAGGAGACAAGGTACTCAAGATGGTGATAAATGTTAGACAAGGCAAGTCCACCGGAAAATTTTCCCCAACATGGGAGGGGCCGTATGTGATCAAAGAAGCTCATGCATCTGGCTACTATGTATTGAAAACTATAGATACAGAGGAACATGATGAAACAATCAATGGATACTGGTTGAGGCCTTACTTTTAGTAGCATGGTCTAAGATGTAATTTCACTACTGCATGTATTTACTTTAGAAATGAATGTATCAAAGATACTGTCTCACTGTCTCTGCTTTTCTACTAAAAATTCTTACATATGTTAACAGTTCACATTTTGTGATAAAGCTTCTTTCACAGTTTCTGCGATAAAGCTTTGATGTATCCACGTATTTTGATACTGTGACAAATTTATAACTCCCTACTATGAACAATATAACCTGTGTACTAACCCTTGGATATGTGTCCATTTATACTGATCTTATCTCCTGGCAACCCCAGGATTGCACTCAAATTCCCCGGCAACCCTGGGAAGGCCCTAGAAACCCCAGGTGCACTCTTATATAATTGTACTTTGCTTATAAATAAATGTGATGAATTCCTAGTACATATGTTAATAGTTCGCATTTTGCGATAAAGTTTCTTTCACAGTTTCTGTGATAAAGCCTTGATGCATCCACGTATTTTGATGATGTGACAAATTTATAACTCCCTACTTTGAACAATACAACCTGTGTACTAACCCTCGGATATGTCTCCATATGTACTCTTATCTCCTGGCAATCCCAGGATTGCACTCAAATTCCTCGACAACCCCAGGAAGTCCTTGACAACCCCAGGTGCGCTCATATCTCCTTAAAGTTATATCTGAGTGACTTGCATTACAAGGAAGCTTCTCTATGCTTAAAGGTATATGACCACAATTCATTGATTTCCTTAAAAAACCTCCAAAACCACTTACATAGAAGGGCCAAGTTGAAAGATTTTAATTTTCTGATTCCCAAGCCTCCACAATTGATTTTCTTATAGATCTAATTCCAAATAACGAGATGATATTTATCCCCTTTCTGTCATTTTCTCTGATAATTGAACATTTATGACTTCTCTTTCATTGTTTCTTATACTAAGAAACTGAATTGAATTTAATAATCTCTTCAATGAGTTAAAATTGTAAGATAAACAGTAGGCACAAGCCTGGAATATCTATAGTTTCAAATACAGCACTGGTTTTGTTTGGTTATGTGTGATTAGTTATGATTAGATTATTGCTTATGTGTGATTAGTTATGATTAGATTTTCTTTGTGTCCAGATGCAATGAAAGCTTTGCGTGAGCATTGGAAGAATAAATACCAAACTTACAGGCTGAAAGCAGCCATCTTTCATGAGGCTCTTCTGAGTTGTTTGTCTCCAACTAATGGTGTACCAAGTGCTGTTTGGGATTTAACAAGACAGGGATACCAAGTGGATTTGAACTCTTGAAATACAGCTCAGTCCATTAATACAACTTTTATTCCCTTCCAATAATAACCATTAATAGTTAGGACGGTGTCCCTGTCTAATCTTAACACTTCTCTATAATTGGAAACAAAACTAAATACAGCACGTTTACAATATTGTTAATATTCTGTCACAATTCTTTCCTCAAGGACCATTAATTAGCATTAATTAGCAAGAAAACTAATATTATTTAAACCCTCTTACCCTCGACCTTTGGGCAAAGGAATCATGGATTCTCTTGGTAGTTTCTCATCCCTTGTTCTTGCTCTCTCCCTTGTCTTCTTCTCTTATCAACCCACCATATTTCTAAGCGCTGACAATGCTTTGATTCAAAAACTGTGTAGCAAAACAGTAGATCCAGGTATATGCTCCAATTGTCTCAACTCAGATCCTGCAGGCAAGAGCGCAGATGCTAAAGGTCTAGCTGGGATTGCCGTTAACTGTGCAGAGAGAGATTGCACCAAGTTATATAACGACACCCGCAAGGCCGCTGATAATGCTCCGGCCGGTGAATTGAAAAACGTGCTGGAAGATTGTGCCGAGCGATTCTTTGATGCTCAAAGTGATTTCCAAGGAGTTCGACAGAATGTTCAGTCAGGGGCTTATGATCTTGCCAAGGGAGTCATTCATGATCAAATTCTCCCCCAGATAGATTACTGCATTGGCCAGTTTGTGAAAGCTCCGCAGCTTCCAATACCATCAACGGTTTTGGGTGGATCAATCGGTGTCAAAGATCTTTGTGATGCGATTACTGTTATCTTAACTAATATTTCTGGTTGATGGGCTGTGGTCTGATCGCAATTAGAATCCTCCATTCAACCTATCTTCTCTTGTTAAAACTTCATTAACTCTTGTTCAATTAATGAAATAAAGTGTCAGCTCTACTCAATCAAAATCTATGTTAGTTGAACTGTAATTGCCTTCTACCGGTTGTGATTATTCATCAATCATTCTGAATTAGGGATGGTGATTTTTGGGCCCTGATATTTGGATTTTAATCCCATTAGAGATTAAATCCAATGTGATTTGATTGACCAATTACATGAAAAATACATCTGCATACATGTCTTGAAAAATAGTTTTTTTCCTTACTAAAACCTGTTTTTAACTTGTCCCACATTGGAAAATTACAAGACTTGTTTTGAGTTTTTAAATAGTAGCTTATTTATACTCTGTAGAAATAAAGAGGAGAGTATGGGGGTTTGCTACCAAGCAACGTGCTGTTGTATCTTGGGAATGGATTTTCTGCTAACCCAATAGCAAAATCAGTGTGAAACTGAATGAGGGCAAATAAATTTCTAAAGACAATATGTCTTCAAACACACCTCAGATCTTCTCGTCCAAGTTTCATTAACCCCAATTTCCTAACAGATATCCTTGAGAGGGCGGCATGCTGATACACATATCTTAAATTCATTGCCAAGTCAACAGATTTTTGACTAATGACAGATTAAGGGTTAACCCCAATCTGAGGTTCCATTTGGTTCATAGTTGGAATTGGAATCAAAACCGAAATTTGAATCTCTCAGAATTGGAATCGAAATTGAAATGATGAGAATTGAAATCAACTGGAATGATATTTTATTCACAACGACAGGGAGAGAATGACCATTCCCTCAAATGGGAAGAATTCCATTCCACTAGAATAGAAATAGATTCCAATTCCACCCGACGAATAATTAAAATCAGAATGAATCATTCCTATTCCAATTTCTGACCCCTATTCCCCCGAACCAAACAGACGTTGAATTGTGACGGGTGATGGTTTGAAAACATTGGATACAAGTGAACACAAGCAACAAAACTTTAAAGCTCATAGAAAACTGTACACTTGGATATTTTGGACCCACCCACCTGTCAACGGGTCCAACTTGTGTCAAATTGAAGGATTCTTTCTTGTGTYCACTTGGTGTGTTCCTACACCAAATCATGGCCATGTATCTGCTATATATCGAATGGTCATGTATCTGCTATATATTGAAGAGTTCGAATAACTATGATGTTTTTAGACCATCTAATTTATGCATCATTTTCAGAGCTTTGAAAGAATCCAAATACACAAAATTGGATAAGAACCATTGAATGGTGCATCCTGATCATTCCAAAACCTATAGGTCTCATTCCTTGTGCCCCTGAACAAGATTTTGCTTCTCCAAAAATTAATTCTTCTGATAGWCAACCTTTGTTTTCCCTCTTCTGGTTTGCTTTCCTTGGGTTATGGAAACCAAGATTCAGAATACTGCTAGTACCAAATGATACTATGGTTTGGATAGATGAATGGAATTGGATTGGCTACGAGAGTGAGGCAGGGAGTTGCTGCAAGGAAGATGAGCTATTGCTTATAGACCAACACAAAATTTACCCCCATTATTTGATAACACTACTTGAAAAATGGTCAAAGGCGGCGGTCGCAAGACCTCTGGCTTAGCCCTTTAGACCACTGCCTTAGATCATAAGTTTGCCCCTAAACCACTGTCGGCCTAGGTCAAGACAGCTGCATTTGAGGACAGGTCCAACGTGGTTCAATTATTCCTAAACCGGTGGTATATCAGAACCGTCAGCTCAGAGTTAATAAAGGTGGCGATCTTAATCGCCGTCTTAGATCTCTTTGGACTGCTGCTTTAGGTCAGTCAAAATATTGCTTCCATTTTTAGGTGGCGGTCTGGACTGCTGGCTTAGATCTCCTTAGACCGTCACCTTAGGCCAGTTAAAATGTTTTTTCCATTTTTAGGTGGCGGTCTGGAGCGCCAGCTTAGATCTCTTTAGACTGCCGCCTTAGGTCCTTTTATGTCTAAGGTGGCAATTGTATGACTGCCACCTTTGTTGTTTTTATTTTTTATTATTTATATCAATTTGATTTCAACATCTCTTTGTACTTGTTTAATACAAATCTCATGACAGATAATACATAAAATTCAATTTAAATAAAAATAAAAACTTTTAATTAAATTAATAGTTATTAAAATATCCAAAACAAATTGCTTAAATACAATATCCAATTGACATATAAAAAAGTACAAGGTATTGAAAATCCATGCATAAGGCTCCATGAAATCCTAGACAGCACTTGGTATCCTTGTCTTGTTAAATCCCAAACAGCACCATTAGTTGAAGACAAACAACTCAGAAGAGCCTCATGAAAGGTGGCAGCTTTCAGCCAGTAAGTTTGGTATTCATTCTTCAAATGCTCACGCAAGGCTTTCATTGCATCTGCACACAAAGAAAATTTAATCATAACTAATCACACATAAGCAATAATCTAATCATAACTAATCACACATAACCAAACAAAACCAGTGTTGTATTTGAAATTGTAGATATTCCATGCTTGTGCCTACTGTTTATCTTACAATTTTAACTCATTGAAGAGATTATTAAATTCAATTTAGGTTCTTACTATAAAAAACAATGAAAGAGAAGTCAWAACTGTTCAATATTAGAGAAAATGACAGAAAAGGGATAAATATCATTTGGTTATTAGGGATTAGATCTGCAAGCAAATCAACTGTGCAGACTTGGGAATCAGAAAATTAAAATCATTCAACTTGGCCCTTCTATGTAAGTGGTTTTGGAGGTTTTTTATGGAAACCAATGTGTAGGGAGGAGGTGTTTGGCTGGATTAGGAAATAGTCTCTTCTTCGAAGGACGAAGGAGAGCATGCAAGGAGAGTCAAGAAAACTTTTTTTGGGTGTTGGGATCAGGGAAAATGTGTTTTCCGAAGGATAATAGGGTGTTCGAGGGTATCAATGTTGAGAGATGCTTCTATTTCGATGATCCCCGGTGTGAGGGGGACCCTCTATTTATGAAGGAGGTTCCAAGGTCTTAAAAGGTAGGAGATGAGGATTTTCGCCCCGTATTGGGAAAGGGGAATATATTAATCGCTGGAAATTATTGGGTATGCTACTATGTGTCGCCACGTGCTTCATGAAGATATCCTCGAGGATCAACTTTCCTTATCCCCGAGATCCTTCATTATTCACATGTGCTACTACCTTTTTGTGTGCCATGACTAATCCTACGTRGAGAAAATGACGTCACCGTCCGAAGGTCGGTGTTCGTTAATGCCATGTGGCGATTTGCAAGGTGCTTCTTTGTAATGGATTTCTATGTTTGGGTACATACCTGAGTCTCGCCATGGGCTTGGCCCATTGTCCTTCTCGACCCATTGCCCGGAATGGGTTCATGGGCAGTAAGTCTGTTTAGCATGCTACGGGTTCATCGCAACGGTCATGATGGAATGTAGGTTAATCGCAAATGGGGATTGACTATGGACTGCTTGTAATTRTTTCTGTGGTGTTACTCTTGGTGTTTGAGTACTCTTTAAGGGTCTAAKTGAGTTGTACACACCTACATTAGCCCCCCTACTTATTGGTAAGTTGGATTTTATCGATAAGCATATTGCTTTCGTTTTTGAATTATGTGGCGATTTTGTTGGGTCTGGTGTTTTGCCTACCTTGTGATTTTGTATAAATCATGTGTATCTTGTGTTTGTGTTTGGTACCTTATTACGGTCTAAAGCATAACCCCCCTGTCTTTTGGTGATTTGTTTTCTGGCAACATTCAGTGTTATGTAAATCGCGTGTTTTGGTCCCCCCTGAATGTTGTTAGGAAGGAAATCACCAAAAGATAACTAGAAATATGGTTGTGGGTGCGGCTATTYGACTACTTCCATTGTAGATGAATTGGTGTTTAGGTTTTAGCGGTGGTCATTATTTCTCTTATGCTGATGTGACAGGTGCCGCATGCGTCACTCAGGTTTTCGCTGGCCAAGTGACGGCGTTAGATGTATCATTACGTTTAGTGGAGTGTGTCGTTTTGTCGTGTGTGATGGTTCATCTGAACATGCCTGTTTAGTTTCCCCTTTTTTGAATTATAGGCTTCCTATAAAAAGGTGCAGGGTGTCCTACTTCGTGTCACTACGATTCGTCTCCTCTCTCTTTTTCATTCGTGGTTAGGAATGGCTTTTGATCAAAATGATGCACAGATGCCTATTGGTGAATCTATGGGTTCTAACTCATCGTCTCCAATGGGGTCGGCGTTGTCTTTGGAGTACGCCATGGTCCATCATCTCCAGTGGGGTCGGAGTAAGGAGAATGGTATAACCCCCTTGGGGTATGATGTTGTTGACAGAGTGCCTATTCATGGCGCTCGTCCACGAGATGGGTTTGTAGTGTCGAGGGAAATAGTATGTTTTGCAGAAGTGGTTGTTCAGTTTGGTTGGCTGCCTCCAATGGAGATGCCTTTCGTCATTGTCAGTTAAGCGCTGAATACACTCGCGTCGGTGATGTCCGAGATTATGAACCTCCCCCATGACCAGATTTCGTGGCCAATGCTCGCGTAGAGGTTGAGGACTTGTGAGAGTCTCTCCACGATCGGTTTCCATGTCACAGGGGTCGAGGAACGTGTCATTTGACTGGCACATGTATTTTGGAGGGCGGGTCTCGGGGACATGCCGTTGGTTTATAAGCGATCTCTAGCGGATGTGCGTCRTTCCGTAGAGGTATCGGAAGCCAGGCTGGAGGCGGTTACCAGGTGTCTTGCAGACCTTAAGGCACAATGTACCTATCAGTCTTGCATGGTGGCAGAGTATGAGGCAAAGGTTGAAGGGATGAGATATCCATCATATGGTCGCCCGAATCTTGCAAAATAGAATGAGCGAATTTCAAAAATTTATCTTCATCCTACTAGGAATCACATTCCCTATTTTAGAAAAAACATATTTTTCAGGGATCAATCTTGAACCAAGAACCGAACCAGATCTGAACAAAAGTAGTAGGAGA